GTTGAATTTTTCTTTCCTTTATTCATTTTTGCAATGTTTCTGAATTTACATAATTTCAGATATCTCTACTATATTTAAATATTTCACTTTATTTAAACTTTCACAATTCTAAATAGATGAGATGACACCACAACTTACATGGTTAAAAATGACCATAATTTTTAAAGGGGTGGACCGATAAGCCAGCGGAAGGCCTCGGTCAGGTGGCCAAAGTTCCGAAGTCAGGAAACATTTGTCCTGTTTCCTGACGAGCCTTACCTAACCTACCTAAATAGATGAGATACCAAGTCACTGGGGAAGGTTTTCTTGCACTTCCTTGGATCAAAACATGATTACCTTTCATTATCCAGGCACAGTGTGATCGTTACGGGTTTAGTGCTCACTGCTTATGTTTCAGGCAAATAATTTAAGCTCTGGATGGTATATTTCATGAAGTCGGCTGCGCCACGACCCACAACAGATGTGTTGGAGAAGTGTTAAGATTTATTTTTATTATCACATTCACTTGGTTAGCACTAAATTCGTAAGGGTATTACAGCACCTGGGGAACGAGGCAATAATATTCGATGCATGGAAAAAAAAGGGCGAGCAGCTCAAAGTCCCTTGATCAAGAACCCTTCAGTGTGATAGAGGTGCCTCCCTTGAAGGGACAGGTGTCAAGTGACTGACTGAGGATATACATGAATAGTTCCATACATTCATTTAATAAAGCAACTGATGAAATACAAATGTACCAGATCTTTAATTCGTGTTCCACAAGGCACAGTACTTGCTCCCATTCTATTCCTCATCCTCATTTCTGACACAGACAGAGATGTAAGCCATAGCTCCGTGTCTTCCACCCCGCAAGGAAGGTTCCTTGATGTTGGTGAGGGGCTCTTGATTTAGGGAATTGGATCTGTGCTCCAGTTCCCCGAATTAAGCCTGAATGCCTTCCACATCCCCCCCAGGCGCTGTATAATCCTCTGGGTTTAGCGCTTCCCCCTTGATCATAATAATAATCCGTGTCTTCCTTTGCGGATGACACCCGGATCACCATGACAGTGACCTCCGTCGAAGACACTGCGAGACTCCAAGCGGATTTCAACCAAATCTTCGAATGGGCAAATCAAAACAATATGAAATTCAACGAGGAGAAATTTCGACTACTCAGATATGGAAAACTTGAAGAAATTAAAAATGTTTCAGGGTATACGACAAATTCTAACCATACAATAGAGCGGAAGAGCAATGTGAAGGACCTAGGAATGATAATGTCAGAGGATCTCGCCTTCAAAGATCACAACAATGTTTCTACCTCATCCGCTAGGAAAATGATAGGATGGATAATGAGAACCTTCAAAACTAGGGACGCCAAGCCCATGATGATTCTCTTCAAATCGCTTGAGCTCTCTAGGCTGGAATACTGCTGTACACTAACGGCCCCTTCAAGGTTGGCGACATTGCAGACCAGGAGAATGTACATAGAACTTTTACGGCACACATAAGTACGATAAGGCACCTACACTACTGGGAACGGTTGAAGGTCCTTGATCTGTATTCCCTCGAACGCAAGTGAAAGTGATACATGATAATATACACTTGGAAGGTCCTGGAGGGATTGGCACCAAACCTGCAGACGAAAATCACTCCCTATGAAAGTAAAAGACATTCCCCGACGAAAAGCAGGGGCGGCATGAGTACATTGAGAGACAACACAATAAGTGTCCGGGGCCCAAGACTGTTCATTTGCTTCCCAGCATACATAAGGGGGATTATCAATACCCCCCTGGCTGTCTTCAAGAAGGCAGTGGACAGGCATCTAAAGTCAGTACCTGACCAACCGGGCTGTGGTTCGTACGTCAGCTTGCATGCGGCCAGCAGTAACAGCCTGGTTGATCAGACCCTGATCCACCATGAGGCCTGGTCTCAGACCGGGCCGCGGGGGCGTTGACCCCCAAAACCCTCTCCAGGTAAACAAGGTTGCCTGAATTTTCTTTTTGTTTTCTTTTGTTTCCTCATACTTTTTTATTTAGCTCACAACTCGAGAACGCCGCATCCAATCGGCTTCAAACTTTCAATTCATGTGTATGGTAACGAGAACCAGTTTCTCAGAGCGAAATCCATGTGGTTTTCGCTCACCATGAGGCGGGCCAAAACAACATGGGTTCGAGTCCTTGGCTAGTCGTAGTGTTGTTATCGATGAATACCATTTGTTCGTGGTTACAATATATATATATATATATATATATATAATATATATATATATATATATATATATATATATATATATTATATATATATATATATATATGTCGTGCCGAATAGGCAGAACTTGCGATTTGGCTTAAATAGCAACGCTCATCTTGCCATAGAGGAGAAGTGAAAATTTGTATATGCAATAATTTCGCCAAAATCATTCTGAACCTAACGAAAAAAATATATTTCACTGTGTTTGTTTAGTATTAAATTACTGTCAACAAATCTAAAATATATTTAGTTGGGTTAGGCTAAAATAAATTGCGCTTGTTATAATAAGGTTAGGTAAGTTTTCTAAGTTCCTTTAATTGCAAAAAATATAAATTTTTACATCAACATTAATGAAAAATATATATCTTTAAACGAATAAGAGAAAATTTTAGAAAGGCCTTAATTTTAATTAAGTTCTTGCTAATTGACCAGTTTTACATATTCGGCACGACATATATATATATATATATATATATATATATATATATATATATATATATATATATATATATATATTATATATATATATATATATATATATATAATATATATATATAATTATCATCTGAAGTTGGAAGGCAATAAACCAGCTAAAATAATTACAACAAACAATTCAACGTTTTTCACACAGACCAATAATATTTTTGTCACGTTAACACAATGTTATTTGAGAATGTTAGCAAAAACTGCAGTAAGTGTGTACATTGTAGAGGGTCAAGACTCGTCCGTGAGTGAGAGGAGTCTCTCCTCGTCTCACTGCAAACCAATACAAAACAAAACTTAAAAGGCTTCAGTCATAAGTTTCAGTCTCTTAATTGCGGTTTGTCTATGTATTTTTCCAGTGATTGTATTGTGCCTTTTTGTTTTTTTAGAAATGCTATTTAGTTAAGTTTTTTTGATAATCGTATAAAACGCTGCGGTTTACCAAGTGTTTTTTTTTGAATTGAAAAATCTGGGGGGCAGGTAGAAGGATTCGGAGGAAATTTTGTGAGGCTGGAAAACCTTTTACAGCCGGCTGCTCCACTGATATAAATCAAAACAGACTGCAAAACTTTTCATGCATATGTTCAGATTTTTAACAAAACCCAAGGGGAACCGAAACTCGTTGGAAACCCATTTCTTACCATCATAAATTTTAGCTTTATATAAATCCCAAAAGGTTTTGATGGGGGCTTCCCCTTTTTACCCCCCTTATTTAAAACTTCAGTGGATTTAAATTGGAGGGAATGTAGTTAGGGGATTGTACACTTTTTTGGGTTGGGTTTGCAGGTTACCCATTTTTATTGAAACGCTGTTCATCGTGATGTCCCATCTCGGGGGTTTGATGCCCAAAGAGATTAATCAGAGTGGGTAAAAAATTTTAATTTTACAAAAATTTGTTCCCAAAAAATTTGGGGATCTTTGGAATGAGATTAATTACTTGCTTCCCGATCATAAAATCATGTTTTAAACCCATCGAATTAACACTCAACAATGAGGGTTTAAAGGGATCCCAAACGTTTTAAAATAACACTCCTAATAGTAGACACAATTTTTTCCCGATCTCAGCATACTAGGAAACCCCAAAAATTTTTGAAAAAGCCCAAAAACTATTCTAATTATTTGACATAAAAATGTATTCGATTTTTAATATTGGAAACTAAATGAATAATTTTCAGCATTTTTTGGGAAAGAATTGAGACACTTTTTGCAAACACAGGGGGAATCTTTATTGAAAAAAACGTTTGGGCCACAACAGGGGTTTTCACCCCCCAAGCCCCCAAATACAAAAAAAAATGGGTAAGGAGAGGAGGAGTTCGAGGAAAACAGTCCCTAAACCCGGGAAACGATTTTTTTTCCCAGTCCACCCGCCCCTTGTGGGAAAAGGGGCAGCATAGGGGCCAGAAGGTGGCTTATATACGGCAGTTAAAATAAATTTGGGAAGCAGGAGGGGGGCGGGATCAAAAGGGGACCTGCCCCCCTTGGGTGTAAGTGGGTTTCGTCGCCAAAAAGGTTTGGGGCCCAAGTGTTGAAGTCTTTTTTTACCAAGACCCCATGATTTTTCCCAGTGCCCTGACAAAATGGGGTAAAAGGTTTTAAAAAACCGAAAATTTTAAAAGAACTGGACACTTTGAAACCCACATGGGAATCTTTATTGAAAAAACCTTTTTCCCCAAACCCCTTGTCGGTTTTCAAAACCATTCACCACATCTGTCAAAACACTGCAAAAACAGGGTTTTGGTCCCAAAGACTTAACGCTTCCCCAAACCTTTGGACGACGCCTCCCTTACATTTAGTGGCAGGCCCCAACGTGATCCCGCCTCCTCCTGCTTTAAAATTTTTTTCTGACTCCCGTATATAACCACCCTCGGGGCCCTAGGCCCCCTTTCCCTACAAGAGTAAAGGATGAACACATCTTTTTTTCCGGGTTTGGGGGAACTGATTACCTCAAACTCCTCCTCTCCTTACCCTTTTTAACTTTGAAATTGGACTGATGAGCCACTGTTTGGCAAAAAACCTTTTTTTCAAAAAAACATTCCCATATGTTGCAAAAGGGGTGTCTAAATTTTCAACTTGTCGGTTTTAAAAAACCATTCCCCACTTCACCCATGAGGGGTTTTGGGAAGGTATAAAATCGATTATTTGTTGCAAATATTTTTAATGAAAATTTTTTAAAAGTAACTGTAAATTTTAAGGAATTAAACCCAGTGTTCGCCCCCAAAACTGAAAAACAAGTAAATACTCTGGTAGGTTTAAAAGGGGTTAAAACAGATACAAAACGGGATTTTTAA